ACACAGTTCTGAGAGTCAACTGAAGGCTTTATTCACAGGCTCCACAATTTATACAATTCCCCATGCAAGGGGTTTCCTGAGTCCTATCCCAGGGGTATTCCAGGGGTGGACTACGTGGGGAACTTAATGTACAGAACCTTTCTCCCATAAGGCACTGCTGCACGAGAGGGATCCTCCCACTGGAATGTGCCGTTAAGTGGATTATCCCTCCGTGCAGCAGAACCGGCCATTTACTTTAAAATATACAGTTTTTCTAATGTTAGGTCTATTTGCACGAATGGACGTTCGGTAGATAGCTGGGGTCTGAGCACATCATTCATGAGATTCCCAGTCAGATCCCAGCTAAAACAACCGAACGCCGCACGAAAAACATATTCATTAAAACACACACTTAAAAGACTGATTGCTATATGGGGAATAAAATACGGAACGGCCCGGAACTCCCGAACGGCCTGGAAGCTCAGCGGTGTTCGCGCCGTCAAGTAGCCATTTTTAGTACCATGCGCTCGACGACCAAACACCGCTGGAGGAACAAAGGATCCAAGATGGCCGACCGCCGCATGGTCGGTAGCCGAACGACGGCCACCTAGGAGAGCCTCTAATTACCGACTGCAACATTGTTGCAATCGGTTAACGAGCGCCACACGTCTCTCAATGTGTGGGCTGTTACAGGGTGGTTATTTCGGTTCACGAACGGCCCGCAAAAGTGCCGTTCGTGAAACGAAAGGGAATCAGCTATCTGCTTTCGGCAGATAGCCAATGCATGCAATACAAAGCTACACAATCGTATTACATTATACCCAGAAACACACATAACACGAAAATCATACAGGCAACCCTTAAAGCGATAGTACTTAAATAATGTCCAAGTGGCTAGGTTTGCCACAATGCTCCCCCAGAACCAAGCCGGCATACACAGTCTGATCCCAACGGATCGGCTTGGGGATGTCCGGAGGAGGGCTCACAGATCACTTTTCCAAGTCAGTCTGTTGAGATAACCCGTCGTCGTTACCGTTTTGTTTCCCGGGGCGATAGTGAATAGTAAAGTCAAAAGGCTGCAGCGCCAAACTCCAGTGCAGCAGCCTGGCATTGTCTCCAGCCACACCAACGGGTTGTGATCTGTGAGCAAGGAAAAGGGTTGCCCGTAGAGGTAAGGTTGCAACTTTTTCAGGGCCCACACCACGGCCAGGCATTCTTTTTCGATGGCGGCGTAGCTCACTTCTCGGGGTAACCGTTTCCTGCTTAAATATGCTACGGGGTGTTCTCCGCCATCTGCTCCAACCTGGCTCAGTACTGCTCCCAATCCAAACATTGAAGCGTCTGTGTAGACAAGAAAACGTTTAGTTAGATCAGGAGTAGCAAGTACAGGAGCATTCGTCAGAGCCGTCTTAAGTTGGTTAAATGCCTGTTCACACTCTGGGGCCCAGATGACTTGTCTGGGTAGGTTCTTACGTGTCAGGTCGGTCAGGGGTTTGGCCAGGGCACTGTAGTTGGGCACAAACTTCCTATAGTACCCAGCGGTACCTAGGAAGGCGAGGACTTGAGTTTTAGTCCTAGGGGTGGGCCACTTAGCTACGGCTTCAATCTTTGCAGGCTTAGGCTTCTGTTGTCCACTTCCTACTCGGTGGCCCAAGTATTGCATCTCCACCATCCCTATGTGGCATTTACTAGGCTTTAAGGTGAGCCCTGCCTCTCCAATCCGATCTATTACGGCCCCTATGTGTCGTAAGTGATCTTCCCATGTCTGGCTATAGATGGCGATATCGTCCAGTTATGCACATGCATAATCCTGGAACCCATCCAGTAGCCGATCTACCATCCGCTGGAATGTTGCGGGGGCGTTCTTCATACCGAATGGCATGACTCTGAATTGGTACAAGCCAAACGGGGTGAAGAACGCCGACTTGGGGATGGCATCCTCGGCTAGTGGAATTTGCCAGTATCCCTTACAAAGATCTATTGTAGTGGCCATCTTATCTAGCAGTTCGTCTATCCGGGGCATCGGGTAGGCTTCCGACACCGTTTTGTCATTCAGCCTCCGGTAGTCCACACAGAACCGGGTCGTCCCATCCTTTTTGGGGACCAGGACTACCGGCGATGCCCAGGGGCTATCGGAGTGCTCGATAACCCCTAACTGCAACATCTCCTCAATCTCTTTCCTCATATGTTCCCGTACGGATTCGGGAATCCGATATGGGGTCTGTCGCATGGGGAGTTGCCCAGGGGTTTCCACTCGGTGAGTGGCCAGCGGACTGTACCCAGGCAAGTTAGAGAAAGTGGCGCCCTTTGCAGCTATCAGCTCTTGTACCTGGGTTCGCTCTCGAGGACTCAGCCGCTCCCCCAGTTGAACTCCCTGGGAAGGCTCCTTCTGCTCTTCCTGCTCTAACATACCCGGGAGAGGTAGGTTCTCCTGATCCTCCGAGGCGGGTGTGCATATGGCAGCCACGTCCTCGGTTCTCTCATGATAGGGTTTGAGCATGTTCACATGGAGCATGCGTCGCTTCCCTACCCCGGAGCATGGGCCGATCACATAGGTAGTATCGCATCTCTGCTCTACCACCTGGTATGGGCCCTGCCAGACGGCCTCTAGTTTGTCTGTGCGGACAGGTTTGAGAATCAGAACCTTCTGTCCTACTTGAAAACTACGGTCTCTGCCCCCCCTGTCATACCAGCGGCGATGCCGTTGTTGGGCGGCCTGGAGGTTGGTGCGTACCGCCTGGGTCAATTCCTCCAAACCATCCCTGAAGGCCAGCACGTATGGTACAATAGGGGTCCCATATGCGCTACTTTCCCCCTCCCAATGTTCTCTAATTAGGTCCAACGGTCCCCGTACCCTCCTCCCAAACAACAGCTCAAACGGGGAGAATCCGGTAGATTCTTGGGGTACTTCCCTATATGCAAACAACAGATGGGGAAGGAATCGTTCCCAGTCCTTATGGGTCTCTCCAAACGTATGGAGCATCTGTTTTAAGGTACAGTTGAACCTTTCACATAATCCATTGGATTGGGGATGGTAGGCAGAGTTAACAATTGGCTTAATGCCGCATAGTTTCCACAGTTGCTGGGTGACTTCAGCTGTAAATTGGGTCCCCCTATCGGAGATTATTTCTTGAGGGAACCCTACCCTAGAAAAGATTTTCATCAGAGCTTCCGCTACCGTCTCTGCATGAATATTGGTTAGGGCAATAGCTTCAGGGTATCGGGTGGCGTAGTCCACCACGGTTAATATATACCGCTTCCCAGAGGGGCTAGGCTTAGGTAGCGGTCCCACTATATACACGGCTACACGGTTCCTCAATAATAGGCAGGGGGCACAGTTTCGCTTTGTGGTGATCCCCCCTCTTACCTACCCTCTGACATACATCACAAGAGGTACAGTAGTGCCTCGCATCTTTAGAAATCCCCGGCCAGAAGAAAGCGTGGGTTAGGCGGTAACGGGTACGGGTCATCCCCAAATGGCCAGAAAGAGGGATGTCATGAGCTATTCTCAGTAGCTCGGGTCTATATTTCTGGGGAACTATCATTTGTTTGGTCTTTACTGTAACCGAGCTCCCTATCGTCCTTTCGGCTATCCGGTACAACAGTTTGTTTTCCCAAATATACCGCTCCCCCTCCCGCCCGGCCTGGTCAGTGTCTACCCTATCCCTGTACAACTGCAATGTGGGGTCTGTCTGGACCTCATCTTCAAAGGTGGTCGGGATGTCCCTGGTCATACGAGTCTGGGGTGAGTCATGGTCTCTTACCTGAACCTCAGAGTGTGCTCGTGGAACCGTGGTGCGAGCCTGTTGCCGGGTAGTCACAGGATGTGCCTCTTGCGAAGGGGCCTGAGGTATAAATGCGGATGTCATCTGGCCCAAGTCATTCCCCAATACAACGTCTGCAGGCAACTTTTTCATCATAGCCACTTCCACGACCCCCTCCCCAGCACCCCAGTTCAAATGTACCTTAGCGGTGGGTAGGCGGTACATGGCTTCCCACGCCACTCTGACGGCCACAGATCCGCCAGTGTGTGCTGTATCCGGGACCAAATGAGGAGCGACCAGGGTTAAAGTGGCTCCCAAGTCCCGTAGCCCCTGTACTTCTTTCCCCCCCACAAACACAACTTGACGATGATGCTGCCTGTTGTCAGTGGCTTGAACAGACATCACCTCATACAAAACACCCAGAGGTTCCTTGGTCTGCAAGCTCATCAGCTCTTGAGTGTCAGGTTCCACTTGATAATGGTGTACGGCCGCCCTTGGGGTGGAATTCTGCCGCACTTGGTTCCACGCCTGTCTACTCCGGTTCTGCATGCACTCTCGGGACATATGCCCCCACTGACGGCAGGTATGGCATTGGATATTTGCCCTGCCATTGTAGTGAGAAGGTGGTGGGGGGGTTCCCTTGTGCTGGCCTGAATGGAGTGGGGTTGACTGGTGCGGAGGTGGTCGGGTGGTGCTGTGCAGGTGGTCTCAGGTGGCTCTTGTTGCTGGACCCATGATGTCTCCTGGCATCGAAGTGTTGGTCTGCCAACCGGGCTGCTTTGGTTAGGGTGAGGGGTTTTCGGTCTCTCACCCATTCTTGTGCTTCCGGTAATAGTCCATTAAAGAACTGCTCCAGTAGTATTAGTTGGCGCAGTTCCTCCATGGTGGTGGCCTGGCTGGCCTGAATCCACCCTTGGGAGACTTGGTCCAACTTGTGTGCCCACTCAGCGTGCAAATCTTTTTCGGGTTTTCGCAATCCCCGAAACTTGCGCCGATATGCCTCAGGCGTGATGGCATACCTCTCTAGGATAGCCCTTTTAACTTTAAAATAGTTTTTGCTGTCCTCTCTGGGGACAGCGCGATAAGCGTCTGCTGCCCGCCCTGCCAACTTTCCTGCGAGCAGGGGCACCCATACTGCCTGCTCCAGGTCGTGCAGGTTACATAGCCGCTCGAAATCCTGCAGATATCCGTCGATTTCATCCTTCTCCTCGTAGAATGCTTTAAATGCATGGTACGGTATCTTTGGCTTTACCGGACCGCAGAAGGAAGTAGTGATGGATTCTGCCCTGGACGGTGTTCCCTGGTGATGTTGTGCCATCATGTATTCCTGTACGTCAGCCATCAGGACCGTCAGGATATCCAGGGGTAATGGCTGTGGTAAAAATTCCAGCCGGGTTCTCAGCTCCCTTTGGTATGGGGTTTCTTCCCTGGCTGGTGGGGGTGTGCTGCTGTGCGCTCGGTCGCCCTCCATTAATTCAGCGATCAGCACGGCTTTAGATTTATTGCTAGCGCTCTTTCCTCTCACTTCCAGCAGTTCCTTAAGCGTCTGCCTTTTAAATGTAGTGTAGTCAGTCTCCATTCACTGATCTCTTTCATCGGTTTGCTGCATGCGAATTGCCATTCCCTTTTTAGTTCGGCTGTTTCTTTTCATTCTAATGCGCTTTTCAGCTGTAGAGTTGGATCTCGTCGCTTGCCACCAATTGTAGCGGAGCGGCAATATTAAATCCCACGATCTCCCCTGGTTCAGAAGGTAATCCACAGTCAAGAGCTGAAAAGCAAGGCAATATCCCAAATCTCCCAGTAACCGGACGAAACACAGTTCTGAGAGTCAACTGAAGGCTTTATTCACAGGCTCCACAATTTATACAATTCCCCATGCAAGGGGTTTCCTGACTCCTATCCCAGGGGTATTCCGGGGGTGGACTATGTGGGAACTTAATGTACAGAGCCTTTCTCCCATAAGGCACTGCTGCACGAGAGGGATCCTCCCACTGGAATGTGCCGTTAAGTGGATTATCCCTCCGTGCAGCAGAACCGGCCATTTACTTTAAAATATACAGTTTTTTTAATGTTAGGTCTATTTGCACGAATGGACGTTCGGTAGATAGCTGGGGTCTGAGCGCATCATTCGTGAGATTCCCGCTCAGATCCCAGCTAAAACAACCGAACGCCGCACGAAAAACATATTCATTAAAACACACACAAAAGACTGATTGCTATATGGGGAATAAAATACGGAATGGCCCGGAACTCCCGAACGCCTTGAAGCTCAAACGGTGTTCGCGCCATCGAGTAGCCGTTTTTAGTACCACGCGCTCGACGACCAAACACCGCTGGAGGATCAAAGGATCCAAGATGGCCGACCGCCGCATGGTCGGTAGCCGAACGACGGCCACCTAGGAGAGCCTCTAATTGTTAGGAATTGTTGCAATCGGTTAACGAGCGCCACACGTCTCTCAATGTGTGGGCTGTTACAGGGTAGTTATTTCGGTTCACGAAGGGCCCGCAAAAGTGCAGTTCGTGAAACGAAAGGGAATAAGCTATCTGCTTTCAGCAGATAGTCAATGCAGGCAATACAAAGCTACACAATCGTATTACATTATACCCAGAAACACACATAACACGAAAATCATACAGGCAACCCTTAAAGCGATAGTACTTAAATAATGTCCAAGTGGCTAGGTTTGCCACAATAGCCACTAAAGTCAGTCTTAGTGCTGCAATGTAAACATGTTTTACATTGCAGGACTAAGGGGGACAGGGAAACTGCACCCAGACTACTTCAATGTAGTTGGTCGATCTGTGGTCTTGGTGCCTATATAGTGTCCCTTTAAAACTATAAGGACATGAAGTTGTCCTGCTGCATTGACTACTTGGCAATTTATCATGTTTTTGTTTCCAGCTACCTTTTTCATTAGCATCCCTGTCTTGCATAGTTGGCAAGGTTTACATACAGAAACAGAGTTATGGCTCATAGGTTAGTGCCTTTTGGTACGGAAAGCTAACAATGCCCTTGATCCTAATGCTAACAAACACAATTAATTTACAGCCCCAGAAATACTAGGATATATCACCATGTCACCATGCTCAAAATAAGTTTTTTGGTTTTTTTTTGACAATTTTTATTCAGACACGTAGTTGCATTACAATTGCGAGTGCGTTTTGGATACCTTAGTCGCGTTTACATATATGATAGAATGTATCGGTTACAATTAGATTTGGCATTTCAGTGCTGCATAATGATGCTAGGTTCATAAATCATGCATACTACATGTCTCAAACATTTTGTGGGGAGAACAGAGTTACATGGGGGAGAAGATAGGGGGTGAGAAGAAGAGAGGGGTGGGATTGGCTGGGAAGGGGGCCGAGGGGAGGGTGGTAGAGGGATGACCCTGGGTTTCCCAGGTGATTTGGCAATAATTCCTGCATACCTAAGAGCGGATGACCAGCAAGTGTCTTCTGTCTCTCAGGTCTTGATTGTTCGTGAACCAGGGCTGGGTCTCCTCAGTGCCACACCACGGATAACATCCTCGCCAGCTGGAAGCTATTGTGTTGTGGTGTTGTCAGTGTGGTTTTGGTACCATGTGTCCCATATGTGTTTTGCCTTAACTAGCATAGGTCTTGGGCCAAATTGGTGTTGGTGCATGGCCTCATATGTCCAATTGAGTGCAATTTGATTCATTAGATGTGTATGTGAAGGTGTGTCTTTAGACTTCCAGTGTCTCGCTATTAGGATATGTACTGATGCAAGTCTATGGTATATTAGTGCCTGGTGTGCTTTGGGCATCCTCTCAGGGAATATGTACAACATGCAGTGTATAGGATTTTTTTCCACCTGGTGGCCTAGCATGTCCGACATGATACGGAGGGCTTGTGTCCAGAGAGGTGCCAGTGCGGGGCATGTCCACCATATGTGGATCATCTTGCCCACTTCTTTATCACATCGCCAACATATGTTTGTGGAGGTAGGCCAAATTTTGTGTATTTT